CTGCCCTTAGTGGTATCAACCCTTGAACACTCCATTTGGAGACGGACTATATAAGTCAGACTGCTCAAATTAGCTGGCTAGTGTTCAGGCTTCCTCTTTGCTTTAAGCTGGGCTGTCATTGGCATTGATCCTCAAATGCATGTCTAAGTTAAAGACGGAGAGAAGTTACCACTCTGGCAGAGCAGATCTAACATGCCTGTATATCGGTGGTGGGTAGAGAAGGTGGTTGGAGAGGGGAGGGATATTGACCCAAAACCTTTAGAGGAGATACTGGGTATTACATATGTGTGTCTATGTATTCCTGCAATAATGGCAGGATGCTTCCCCCGCCCCTCCTTAAGTGGACAAGAAAAACTTAAGATTCAAGAAGGGCAGCCAGGGGCCTTCAGCTGAGGGATATCTGATACATTGTGCCTGTTTTTCTTCAAGGTGGGCTATTGTGTTAATTTTCTAGGAATGCTGTAATCAAGGATCACAGACCCAGTGTCTTAAACAACAGAGCTTCTCACAGTTCTAGTGGCTAGAAGTCTGAGACAAAAGTCTGGGAGTGTTGGTTCGTCCCAAGGCTCCTGAGGGAAGGATCTGTTCTAGACCTCTCTTCTTGGATTGCAGACCTCTGTCTTTTCCCTCTGTCTTCACATAATCTTCCCTCCTATGGAAAAGCTGGCCCAAATTTCCTCTTCTTGTAAGGACACCGGTCCTATTGGATCATAACTCACCCCAATGACCTAATTTTAACTTAATTACTTTTTTAAAGACCATATTTCAAAATACAGTCATATTCTGAGGTACTGGGGGTTAAGACTTCACATAAAAATTTGGGGGAGAACACAGTTCAGTCCATAAAGATGAAACAGCAGATATACCTCACGTCATAGAGTTTCTATTACCCTAAAATAAGGCATGTACATTGGCTAAGTCGCAAGTGACAAGTGAGCCTTGAATTAATTATGGCGCCTTTTAGGGAAATTGAAAATTACTTTGTGAGTGGAAGACTTAGGTAATGTCATTGTGATGTGAAAGACAGTATCTAATCCTGGTCCTTGGTTTCAACTAACTGGCCTTTGAGGAGTTGTGGGAGAGGCTTTGGAAGTGGGTCTCTATCATCTTGCAAACTGAAGATGTTGGGATCACTTATTCAGGAAGATTTCTCATGATCCTCCTTTCCATACAACAAACTGTCCAATTCCTTTGGGTTTCCCTGGGTTGTAGCAGTGTTGGTTGGTGTGCTCAATGGCAAATGCTTGGACTTTCTTCTAGTAATAGAAGCTTTAGAAACTTTGAGTTAGTCCCTGTGGCCAACTGACTGTCCACTCTCCACCTGTTCCAGAGATCTCTCTGCAGCATAAGCCAGCCTAAAGTAGCTTAAATTACTACAGGAACAGACATGGTAAAGAAATTTATACTGTCTGGCCAGAAACAGTTACAGACTCTGTTGTTGCTGGAACGAATTGTGTTCCCAGCTTACTCCCAGACTGTGAAATCCAGTGAGTGTGTAACAGTGCTGGCCCTTACTGGAGCCATAAATTAATCCCTCTCCCATGCTGCTTAGCTCTCATCTTCACTCTAGCAACCTTTCTTTGCCTACTCAGGGCTGTCCAGCCTTTTGATATCTAGCAATGGTCCAGTACTTTCAAAATTCTTCTAGCTGTGTCTTTCCACAATGACAGCACAGTGTTTCAAACCTTCAGGATCTTCTAGGCTCATCCAACCTTTATATGCATATCCTCACTGTATCCCTCGCTCTTCTGGAATGTCTCAATGATTAAAAACCCACTGTCTTGGGCAACAGCTCATTTCATTTTTGAATTACTTTCAGTTGTTATAACACTCTTCCTTTTTTGGAAACATGATTTTTGTTCTCTCTAAATCTCATGCATCATCCTTAGTCTGCTGTCAATCAGTCATACTCAATCAGTTTAATCCATCTTCTATTTGACTGTCATTGCACATCTGGAGACAGCTGGAAGGCCTGGTCTGAGTCTTCTGTGCCTTAGGTTGGGCAGTATGGTATCTGACATCTTCAGCCATGGTTTTAGGTGCCATTATTTGGCCTTTTTCATTTGGGCCTCAATTCTCTGAGTGGGTCCTACTGGCTATTAGTGGATCAACACTGCAACATGCTGAGATTCCTCTTCACTTTTCATGGTTCAGATCAAATGCTACTTTCTTTGCAAAGCCTTCCTTAATGCTACCCAAATACCAGGATATGAACAGCTTTTTTCTTGGTATTCTCATATCACCTTGTACTTTCCTGTAACACTTGCCACAAGGTACCATAACCACTGAACTATTGGTTTATATGTATTTTTTCTCCTGCTATCTTGTAGACCTCTCTTTGACTAGAGACTTTATCTTAATCATTACTGTATCCTGCATTCCATGCTCAGAATAGGGGATTCTTATTGGTTGCTTTACTGTTTCAATAAACTGAAGTTAGAATTCCAAGTACCATGCTGGTCAGAGAGGGTAATGTCTCTGTTCTGGGAGGTTTTTGATGTTCCTCAGGTCAGTCTCTTTGGGGGAAATCCTGGATTGTTTATATTTAAATGGTCCAAGCCAGGCTGAGAGATGTGTGGGGAGTAGAGTGTAGCATGATACCTCTAAGACTTCCTGGATGCCTCTGGATGTTCCAGTGCAAATCATGGCTTGTAGCTCCAGTGTCAAATTATGCCTGGCTTCTGGAACCCTCTACCCCAGTTAATGAAGCTTGACATTAGTTGTCTTTTTTCTTTTTATTGAAGGGCGATTGATCATCAGGCTTGCTTATTTGCTTTTCTGGATGAAAGTTGCAGGTCACTGTTACCAATGTCTGACTCCTTCCCAGAAAGAATCAAATATACCAAACCAAAATGTATCTCCTCTTCCCCAAGGCACATATTTTCTAAAAGTGTTTGTTTTTTTGCCAGCTTACTGTTTCATTTGCTTGCTTGCTGATATTATGAGAACATAATTCTGAGTATCTTTTAAATCCTAAATGCATTGGGGGCAGGTCTCAGGTCATCCTGAGACAACACTTTCTCTCCAACCAGTAAACAGGGCAAGGGAATTTGAACCTGGCTCTATATCTTCAGGGCAAGTCTACTAAAATCCTCTTGCAACTGAAATATGTTCTTCAAGGACTGGAAATAGTTCATTTTGTTCATTTTCTCAAACCTCCTCTCCATGATGGCTTTTGTCTACCTACCTATTCCAGATAATATTAATAGATATCTATGCAGCTGTTAAAGAATCTTCAAGGACAAAAACATCCCTCAAAATTTGCTCTCACCCTGATCTGTAAATAGTTCTTATCAGCAACTGCCTTTTTATTTTAACATCTTTGACTAAGTTCAGTATTTGGAAGATGACCTGGTGGTTTACATACCTCAAGACCTCTCAACAATCCAGACACTGAGATACTACTCGGAGTGGGATTGTTCTTTTTCTTTTAAGATCAGATGTGACAGTTCCTGTAATCGTCTAGCATGTTCATTGAAGATAACTTTGCAAGTTTGCTTCACATGGTATTTGTCATTTGGTGTAGTCTAAAAGCAAATTCTCAGGCAGAAATAAATGCAGTGAGAGAGTTTTTCTCACCTTATGTGGGAGTGGGGAGCATATTGGAGGGTCATGGTAGATATTCAAAAGTTTAATCCTAGGTTTTTGGGTCATGGAAGGGAGATTGCTGTCCCACTCTGTACCCTTGACATATAAGTGGGAAGTATCAGAGACATTTCAGAGGGACAAATAGTAAAAACTAAATAAAAGTCACCCTCTGATGTTGAAATATAGAATTTCAAAAGGTAAAATCACTTTACAATAAATGTATGGAATTTGACCCTATGTATATTTTCTGTCTTGTGTTGGCAATATTAATCAGAAAAGATAGCTCCATTGCAAGAATGGTTAAGTATAGCTGGGACAATGTCCTAATTATATGGCCAGTTTTGCAGGAAGGAACAATGACTTCCCAAACCTGAGGTGCTGAGTCACTATCAGAGATAAAAGCATGGACATTGATTATGATTCAAGGTGCAGGAGCTTATTTATTGTGCTGTAAGCTTGTTAGACCTGCCTGATTCCATTGCAATTCTTAAGGTTGTCAGTGAGGCTCTGCCAGCCCACTAGACGGGAGCCCTTTATGGAAGCATCTTCCTTTTTCACCAATAAACAAGGCGATAGAGGGTGAATGTTGCCCTGAGAATTGGAAACAAGTTAATTAAGATGCATCTGAGCTTGAGACTCTCGTCTAAGGAATGCAGCAGTTGGGAGGTGAAGGTGGCGGGGAGCATCATTGGATGGTTAGTGCATATACAGTTGTCAAGGCAAGGAGAGAGGGTGTTGTTTAGTATTGAAATCATGTATTCCAGATGTGGGCATTTGGTAGTCAATCTGCTCTGAAGTGACATGCTGCTGAATCTTTAAAGGGCTTCAGCCAGGGAGAGCAAAATCTGATTGGGCAAATTGCTAAAATATTTAAAGTGCAGCCTGTTAAAGCTTTTACTGCAAAGAGCATCACGTCAGAAGTTGTAGTCAGAAGGAGCGAGTAATTGGCTTTCCATCCTCATGCCAGTCAGTCAGCATGAGGCTCTATTCCTATTCCTTCCTCTTCATTGCCGAGGCTAATAGCAACCCTTTGGGGTGTGTGTGTGTGTGTGTGTGTGCATGTGCGAGCGCTGGGGAGATCGAAAAGCTGGTAATATGAGAGGAAGAGGAGTGAGGTAGCCTTAAAAAGGGAGGCTAAATCCACAAAATGTTAGGAAGACCATTTAGGAAAAGAGGAGCTGGGGAAAGGCAGAAATGCTCCCTGACAAAGGTCAGCTGCACTTCCAGACACGGGGTGGTGGTTTGGGGGCAGTTGTCTCTCAAAGGATGGATTCTGTAAGCAGAAGAATGGCTTTCGGTGACAACCACTTCCTCTGCATCTTTCATATCCTCTGAGATGTAATTCAGGGGGCACTTTCCATTTATAATTTATCACATTTTCCACTTAGGTTTTCCTGTCTTTTTCTCCCCAGGCATGACCCCTTGTTAATTCCTGGCAATGACCAGATTGACAACATGGACTCCAATGTGAAGAAGTACGACTCTACTGGGATGTTTCATTGGTGCGCGCCCAAGGAGATAGAGAAGGTCATCCTGGTGAGTGAGGGACTGTTCATCTGATGTTGCCCACTTCTGCCCTGAACCACATTTGCTGGGAATGGGGTTTCCCTAGTGGGACAGTGGGATAATACTGTCCCTAGTCCTAATTATTTTTGATGATTGAAATTCTGAGCATAGATTGAAGCAGCTAGACCTCTGATCAGAACATGAGCAATATTCAGAATTTTCAATCTCTGAATATATTGGCTCCTCGTAAGAGTGGGTGATCACGTGCTGTGGGAAAGGCATGGTGGGAGGTGGTATGAACGTAATTCCTGTGGCCATGGCGCTGGTGTCAGAGTCTGCCTGTACCAGTGATTAGCTGCATGGCTTGGGTAATTCACTTGACTTTTTGCACTTCGGTTTTCTTATCTGTAAAAAGAAGAGATGAGAATGACCCTAACTCATAGGGCTGTAGTGAAGATTAAAATCCAACATATGACTCAATAAAGTTACCTCTTATTCTTACTATTATTAAATGCTGTGAGGAAAGCTGAATGCTGCCTGTATTGTTATTGGTTTATAGCAATGTTTTGTATTCTTATAGATAATAGCCTTGCACATCTGCGAGCTTTCTTAGTGCATGTTGTAGACAGGCAAATGCATGATGATGCACGACATAATGATGACAATCATGAACTATAGTCCCCTTGGGGAGACTGGGGCTCAGAGCCCTATTTTGTGTAAGGCTTGTGAACATCTTCATAGCAACAGTGGGCTCACCCAGTCTCTCCCAGGAATGTCAGCATAGATAACAATCCATTCTACTCTCTGCCCTTGTTCTATTAGCAGCTTTGGGTCTTAATGCCTACATTGGTTTTCCTACAGTTTATTGTCTTGCTAATCCATGAAAAATGGATTAATAATCAGGAAAGTCAGATGGAAGGGTTCTTTCTCCCTTGGGTCTCTAATCTCCAGATTGGGATGGGTCTGTTCCTTTCTGTCAGCCAGGAAAATCCTGTCATTTCTGATGTCGGGACCACCCTTCCTAAACAAGGACTGTTCTGGGTCCTCGGAATGGCTGTGTATGCTAACACACTGGACTTTCCCCTGCGCTTTATCTATGTGTATGTGTGTTATCAACTTAATTATAAATCAGCATTAACAGCCAATACAGTATCAAGCTGGAGGCTGTCTCAGAGGTGGAAAAGTTGCAGGCAAGAGCACAGAAAGTCAGAATTCTTAGCAAACGGCCATTGTCCAACTGACCAGGAGTGCAAATGGTTCTACTTGCAAAGCTGCTTCACGTATGTACATTCTTTTTGTTTTGTTTTGTTTTTCTTGAGACAGAGTCTCACTCTGTTGCCAGGCTGGAGTGCAGAGCCATCTTGGCTCACTGCAACCTCTGCCTTTCAGGTTCAAGTGATCCTCCTGCCTCAGCCTCCCGAGTAGCTGGGACTACAGGTGCACGCCACCACACCCAGCTAATTTTTTAATATTTTTAGTAGAGACAGGGTTTCACCATGTTGGCCAGGATGGTCTCGATCTCTTGACCTCATGATCGCCAGCCTTGGCCTCCCAAAGTGCTGGGATTACAGGCATGAGCCACCACACCTGGCCATGTATGTACATTCTGATGTATTCATGGCACTTTTGCTCTGGTGGCCTAAACTTAGCCTGATGTTACCACTTGTGGCAGGTCATGGCTGGATGCCCTATCTGGGACCTAGGGTTTTAATGACTTGCCTGAATATTGGTGTAGTATGCATGCCAATTGATATTCAATCAACATCTGCCAGCATGAAAACGTTTAGGAGGTGAGTTACTACTTCTATGAAAAATAACATCATTTAACAAAACATCTCCAGGAGGCCTACTATGTGCCACACACTGTTCTAGTTACTGGAGATGCAATCCCTGACAACGACTGCTCTCACAGAGCTTATATTCTAGCAGGGCGGGGCCAGGAGAAGAGGCGTTATCTCTAGGTAGACAAATGAGTACATAACAACATTTCAGATATTTATAGGATGCTTTGAAAAAAGTAAAGCAGCATTGTAGGCTAGAAAGAGACTGGGAGGTGCTGTTTGGAAAGTATGATCCAAGAAACCCTCTCTAAAGTAACACTGGGCTGGAGATGAGAATGACAGGTAGGGCCAGCTACATGAGGATGCTTTGAGGTTGTGTACTCACTGGGTACAGGAAACTAACTACTTTGGGGATTCGAAGATATAAGAGATAGTCCCAATTGTAATTTCCTGGATTAACTAGAGAGAAGTTATAAAATGTAACCCATGAAACAGTGTATTTAAAGCTAAGTGGTAAGAGGCACAAAATGCTATTGAAATGTAGGGGAGAAGGACTAGGGTGTGTTTAAGTGGCCAGGCAAGTCCCATCAGATACACACAGGTTGTGCTTGGGTTGGGCCTGGAAGGATGCATGGGAATCCCAGATACATAGAGAAACAAATGATCAGTTTCTCTAGTGTGCCTCAAACCCAGCAGAATCAGACACACCAGGGCTGAGGCTCTAGAATTAGGACATTCATAAGGTTCTCTGGGTGATGTAGCTGTGGCCAGTCTGACGATGAGTGTTTTGATCCCAGATCAAAGTTCCTGGGGTCAGCATCTGTGCCTCGGCCACTCGGCTAACTGTGCCTTCCCCACCTCCCTAGTCTAGAATTCACTTCCACCCTGGGCCCAGTTGATATTCCTCTGGCTTGTTGAAGGGAGCTAGCCTCCCAGGTGACCTGGCCAATTAAAAATAATTAGGAGCCCCGTCACATAACAGTGCATTATAGACTGGTTGGCTCTCTGCTGGTGGCACCCGGGCACTTGCACTTCCATGTGGCCCAGATAACTAACTCCAGGTCTTCTGCAGGAAGTGGGGATATGTGATGTGAGCTCCCCAGTGGGTCTTCCTTGGTCACAGTTTCTAAGGCATTTCTTACAGCTTGTGTCTCCAGTTTCCGTGGACTGTTGGAGAGGGAAACCAATAATGGTGACAGCCCCTGCTTTATTCTAACGATCAGGTAGTGAAAGCCAGCTTCCTCCTCTCCTTGGGGGTTACTGTAATAACCCTGACATTGTCGTGAATTGCAATATTGGCATTTATACAATCAATGCAGCAGTCAGTTCTAGAGATTAAATCAAGCAGAGTTTGATATGTACAGTGGACATTAATATGCCTCCCCCAAAGCGTTGTAAGCCACATGGGGCCAGCCAGGCATGCAGTGGGTGGACAGGGATGGGAGGCATCGGACAAAGGTCCACAGCTAGCCTCCTGGCCTCACTAGCTCAGTGAATCAAAGGACCAGCAGTGACTAAACAGTTGTATTTCCTGGGAAGTTGGGGTTCTCCTCTAATAGAGTGACTGTATTCTTTCATTTGTCTGCTTTGTAGATAGAGGTTTGGAGTTGGAGGAAGACACTGCTCTGTTGCTCTTACTAATCTCTCTCTAGCCCCTTGTAATGATTATTTGAGGAGATCTTTTCTCCGAATGATGTAAGCAAAGCAGGCCCCTCCAGAAATGTCCCTGGAAACTCCAAGGCAGCATTGGACAGGGGTCAGCAAACTTTTTCTGTAATAAGTCATGTAATGAATAATTTAGGCTTTTCAGGGTATAAGATCTCTGTTGCTACTGATCAGCTCTGCTGTTGTAGCATAAAAGCAGCCATAGGCAATACCTAAATGTATGAGCATGGCTGCATTCCAATACAACTTGGTGGGAATTTGAACTTTATATAATTTTCACAGATTATGACATAGTCTTCTTTTGATTTTTTTCCAACCAATTTGAAGCACAAAAACTATTTTTAGTTCACTGAACATACAAAAGAATGTGGTGGGCCAGATTTGGCCTGTGGGTCATAGTTTTCTACTCCTGGCTTTAGGTAGCATATTCCACCTGCTGATGCATGGACATCTCACTGATAAGTCTAGAATTCCAAACTCAAATTTCTCCAACTGAGCCCAGTGCAGGCATCTGATCATTTTATCATCATCTCAGCAAGCAGGCCAGAAAAGGCAGTTCATTTAATCAATAGTTTCATGGAAACGAAGACTTCTCTTTCCAAATAGCATAAATATTCCTTTTCCTTTTTATTTTACCTCCTGAAAATTATTACGAAGATCTTCTCACGCGTATTTATGGCATATCTTTCTTAAATCTTTTGTCAAAGAAGGCAGCAATGTGCATGGATATACATTTGGATAAATTTATTACATAAATATACATATACACATGCTCAAATTATAGCTTTGTATGGCACATATGTAACATTGATGAAATAAACATAATAGCACATAGTAAGCTCTCAGCAAATATTTGCTTGATTCTTTGCACAAATGATTTTTCCACTCCTTACGACAGCCCTGTGCAGTCTTCTCTCTGACGCTTACACACTTCTCCCTGTTGCAGACTCGAAGTGAAGCCGCCATGACCGTCCTGAGTGGCCATGTCGTGGTCTGCATCTTTGGCGATGTCAGCTCAGCCCTGATTGGCCTTCGGAACCTGGTGATGCCGCTCCGTGCCAGCAACTTTCATTACCATGAGCTCAAGCACATTGTGTTTGTGGGCTCTATTGAGTACCTCAAGCGGGAATGGGAGACGCTTCATAACTTCCCCAAAGTGTCCATATTGCCTGTAAGTCCAAGGTCACATTATCGATGCCTTTTATTCTTTTCATTCACAAAAGAAAATCCCAGATGGATATAATAGTTGTAGCTTTGATCATGCCTGTGCTTCTTCATCTGGATATGGGCCTGAGGACTCAGCACTTCCCCTATGCTCTGTCAAGGAAAATCCAAACCCTGGGAGACCTTATTAAAAGGAATTTGCAGCCAAGTTCAGTCCGTCATCAGGGATGAAGTTTAGCTTGTATCAAGTATATTAACCATATCAGTGTCTAAACACTCTCTCATTCCTGCCTATACAAAACCTAATATATCACATTGTTATATTATGATGTTTATAGTAAGGATTTGCTTACAGAACTATTTATAGCATTATACTTACGGCATTTTTAATGCTTGAAGAAACCTTGATCTGTGCCACCTTCTGTTTTTAACTAAATACATGCAAATAACAGAGTTCTTTATTTCTGCTGTACAGAAGGCCAACTCCTTCTGCAGCTCAGCCCCTAACCCCTGTTCGTTTAGAAGTCCAGCAATGTGTTCATGGTTGTGTTTGTGTGTGTGTGTGTGTGTCCGTGTGTGAATGTGTGCATGATATTCTTGACTGCAAAACATTAGGACTTCGGTCTGAAAAAACAGTCTGGGACTCCACAATTTAGTGTGAGGATATGGGATTTAGGAGTCATGTGATTAACTACTTCTTAATCATAATGAATGCATAGTCCACAAACTCTCAAAACATTGTAGAGAATTATGCATTTCAATGTTTGATGTAGTTCTCCACATCACAAATTCATGCAAATCTCACCTCTCTTCCAAATATTTTTCTTGTAAGTTCACATCCCTAAAACTAAGAAACAGGGGCTGGGTGCAGTGGCTAATCCCTGTAATCCCTGCACTTTGGAATGCTGAGGCGGGAGGACCACTTAAGCTCAGGAGTTCATGAGCAGCCTGGGCAACATGGTGAGACCTCTTCTCTACAAAAAGTTTAAAAAATTAGCTCAATGTAGTGGTGCATGCTTTTAGTTCCAGCTACTTGAGACTGAGTTGGGAGGATCACTTGAGCCTGGGAGGTCGAGGCTGCAGTGGTCTATGAAAACACCACTGCACTCCAGCCTGGGCAACAGAACAAGACCCTGCCTCAAACAAAAACAAAAACAAAAACTGAGGAACATGGATCTCTCTACATGTCAAGAGGTCTGGGTTTTTCCCCACTTACAAAACTAAAATCTATTATTTCTGTTATCAGCTTCCAAAACCTCAGAAATGGGGGGAAAAAGAGCCAAGCAATATAATTCATTAAAGAACACGTAAGAATCTATCCACAAGTAGTACTCGTTACTCATTAGATGCCACCATGTGTCTTTACATAATGCTGGCACAATAGGGACTCAATAAATATTTAAAGGAGTATGAAAAAGATCAGACAGTTATCTTTTGGATGCTGGGGCAAAAACCCACTGCCTTAGTGAGCACAGACAATTGAAAATAATCACCTATAGACAAACAGTCATACACAGAGGAGAGCATAAGCATATATATACTTCGCTAATTCCAGAAATATGGACAATTTGATTATATGCTTCCATGGTTATCTTTCTATCATGTGCTCCTCCACATAGTCCCCTGACCTCTAAAAGTGTCTTTGTAAAGAGTTTATTATTTTACCAGGCTACATGAGTCTGCATGTGTTTGTGTGTGTAGAGAGATGGTTATATGTGTGATATTTGGTATTTGTGTGTGTGTTTTGTGTGTTTGTGTGTGTTTCCTCCTGTGTGACCTTGTTTTCTTTTTTTTATTTTGAGATGGAGTTTCACTCTTGTTGCCCAGGCTGGAGTGCAATGGCATGATCTCGGCTCACTGCAACCTCCACCTCTTGAGTTCAAGCGATTCTCCTGCCTCAGCCTCCTGAGTAGCTGGGATTATAGGCGTACACCACCATGCCCAGCTGATTTTTTGTATTTTTAGTAGAGACAGGGTTTCACTATGTTGGCCAGGATGGTCACAAACTGCTGACCTCAGGTGATTCACCCGCCTTGGCCTCCCAAAGTGCTGGGATTACAAGCCTGAGCCACCGCACCTGGCTCTGTGTGCCCTTGTACATGTTCACTCATCTGTCTTCGTATATGTGAATGAGCTGTCATCTTTGCAGGTCTTTTTCAAACCCTCCAAAATTTAACATACTCAAGCACAATAGATTTTCACGAAATGGGCCTTCACCTATGTCTTCACAGAGTTTATTGGTTAAACAGTACCCTGCCTATAGGGCCAGCCCAGAGAAACATAAGCGATTTCTGTGTATGTCATTTGTATTTCTTGTGGTTTGAAATCATGTGTGTACAACTGCACAGGGATCATCTTATATCACAATTATGGCTGGCTTCCCTACAAAGTGAAAATTAAAAGAATATGGATGCAGGCAATTGAGGCTTATGTACTGGCAAAATGATTCAGGAAGTCGATCAGACTTGTTTTGTACCAAGAGATTACAGGAAAAGAGGGCATTCTCCTTCTCTCAAAAAGATGCTGCTCTAGAGCCTGGAACTAGTTGTGTCTCAGCAGCACCCACAGTGCTAAATGCCCCTTCCTCCATAGTTGCACAATATTTTAGGGGCTGAGAATAGAATCATGACTACCACTGACTCATAAAAGAGGGTAGATAGGCTCCATCTCTGCAGCCAAATCTCTTCTTCTCAAAGCTAGTTCTCCAGAAAGGCAGATTACAGGAGGACATTCACAGATAGGTGATAGTTGGCAAACCCTTGGTCTACACAATCAGTGAGTTGAAGGTAACTCAGGTCACCACACAGGCAAAGAGGAAGCTAGATTCAGGCTAGAGGGCCAGTGAAGCTGGTGGCCAGACAGAAGCCCCAAAATGATGCTGCATGGCCACTGGGGAGCTATGACATGGGGTGGCCTGATGATTTTGCTGTGGTTCCACCTGAAGACACAGAGCACGTGGAGGCCATGGCCCTGTCCTTCAACTCTAACCCTTCTATTTTATCCTGTGCTTGCATTCCTGGACTCTGTTGTTACCTCCTGGATCCGAGATTTTTCCACTGTCTTTTGTTGTTATTTTTTATGTTAAAAAATCTGTATACTGGCTTATTTATTTTTAATAAGTATATATTTGTATATTTGTAATATACAAATATGTTCTTGTTATAAAATATTCAAACAATATAGAAATATATAAAGTCAAAAGCAAACTTTCCCCTCACCCCCACCAATCCTATTTCCCTTCCCAGAGGGAATTACCATTATTAGTGTAATGGGTATTTTTCCTGTGCTTTCCTTCCAAATTTACATACATTTATATATATGTAATTTTATTTTGTGGGATTTTTTTACATACATGAAACTATACTTTTTTAACTGCTCTAGAACTTTTTTTTCACTTCCCCCTCTATCTTAGAGAGGCTTCTAAACTGATGCCTGCATGGGCAGCCAGCTCTGCCTCTTTACCTCCTGCATACATTTTCATCATGTGCATGTTCAAAAGTATATTTCAGCATTCCTATGTTGTTGAACAATTAGGCCATTTCCTTGTGTACTTTTTCTTGCTGAAAATATGCAATAAAATTATATGACCTGAAGCTTAACTCCTTTCCATATCTCTTTTGCATTACACACATTAATTCCACTCCATCCATAGCCTCCAAATTGAGCCGCATGTCCAGGCCCACCTCATCACTCCGTGCTCACTGGCCATTTCCCCTTGGCTGCATTGAAACTGCTGTCTTTTGCCTGAGACAGAAGTGACCTGCTATTAAATAAACAGGCTCTTGAAACCCACCCCCTTGTTACATTCTGAAAGCCAGAGGTTGCCACAGGACAGTTACTTAAATCAAGACAATTTCCAGGCAGGAAGAAGATGTAGAACCCTGGCATTATTCCTCTCCCGCATTTGTTGTAATAGCTTGATTGAGTATTGAGAGCAAGCTTAAAATGCTGCCATCAGCACCGGCTACCCTTTAGATTAGCACACAGCTCCTATTCCCTTGAATGTAGTTAGGCCAGCTTAATGTCAAGGCATAAAAAAGATACTTGTTAAGTAATTTCCCAAAGCTCCGACTCCATCTTTAATTTGTTTTTATTTTTTTCTTCTTTCCCTCTCCTCTCACTTTTGCTCCTTTCTCTCTCTCTCTCTCTCTCTCTCTCTCTCTCTCTCTCTCTCTCTTCCCCACTTCTGTTTTTTTTTTTTTTTCCTTTCCTCTATGCCAAAGGGTACACCATTAAGTCGGGCTGATTTAAGGGCTGTCAACATCAACCTCTGTGACATGTGCGTTATCCTGTCAGCCAATCAGAATAATATTGATGATACTTCGCTGCAGGACAAGGAATGCATCTTGGCGTCACTCAACATCAAATCTATGCAGTTTGATGACAGCATCGGGGTCTTGCAGGCTAATTCCCAAGGTAAGGACAGCCTGTAATACTTCTTTGCTGTGCCTACGGGGGACAGGGGCTGGCAAGAGGGATATCCTTCACTCAGTAATTCAAAGAGGCTCACATCAGCCTGCCTGGCAGTGAAACCTGCAGTCACTGTGATGGCTTTCAAAGGGGCATCTGCTGCCTCTTCTTTCCATTCCAGGATGCAGGCTTGAGACCTGGTCACCCACACACAGACTAGGTTGCCTTTCCAGAGGATAAACAAGCCTTTAAATGGCCACCCCCTGAGCTTTCCCAAAGAGTGGCTTCATGACCAGTGTCATCATCTAAATGTCAGATCACTGAAAAGATGCTGGCTGCACAATTCTGACCGTTTCCTTCCAATATATGTTTTTGCCATTGGGCTGGGATGGGAGGGAAACTCTGCTATTGTTAGAACTGCCTCTAGGACTCTGCTGACCGAGGGATGGTAATCTCTGGAGAGTGGCAACTCTATGGACACTAAAAGTCATTTAGCAAGTGGTGACACTTGTCAGACCACACATTTTCCTATCGGAGGCAAAGCAGCCTTAAGTGACACACGTCTGCCTTCCTACTCTGCCCCTAGTCTTTTCTGTCATTTGCTTTGGGTCCCTGGGCAGGTGGTTACAAGTAAAGATGTCTAGGGGTCTCAGAAAGGCAACACAGCAAAACCTTCATAACAAATGACCTCCATAATCAGGATCTGGCAGGATAGGATGCAAAGCATTTTCCTTTGAGTGACACCTCCGTGTAGGCTTGCCATGAATTGGAAGATCATTGTTACAGACGAGCGACGAGACAGTGGCATTGGCTGCCTGATGGGGACCTGAATCCCGTCAGTCCAGGAGAGAAGGCTGTAGGAGCACAGCCCATGAGAGCTATGGCTACTGGAATATGAAGCATCATCTTATTGATAGCTGGGCAAGCGTCTGACCTCCTTCCCGTCATGCTAGGTTTTCTAGAAACTCAGCTGAATCATGCATCCTGGATCTGTGAGCTACATTATCTTTTGTCAACTTGACATCACCACCACTGCCTTCTAACATTTGCTTAGCATTGCAGAAAAGCCAGGAACAATAGTTCCTAGAATCCTCTTCCCTGCATGGCTCTGGGCTAGAGTCAACTGGTGGGAGATGGGCACTGGGGTGAGATTTGGAAAGTGGAGGAGAAAGATAGGCTTTGATTCTTTGGAGGCAACGGCAGCCAGACCCTGGCCGACCTGGGTTCAAATCATCTCTCAGATGAGCTTTCTAGGAGCCAGTGTCTTCACTGCTAGGGACTGAGAGAGGGGCTGGGGCTTCCCTGAGGATCTTGAGATTCACAGCAGCTTCTTGTCAAGCTTAAGAGAACCTTCCCCTTTGGTGTTGCATGTGAAATGGCTTCTGTCCTTCTGACATCACCTTGATACAGCCTGAAGCCTAATTTTTGGCCTCTCCACACAACCATCCTCCCTGCCACACCCAAATCTAAATATTGGTATCCACCTGCTCAGCTGTGCCCGCAGGACAGCACAACATGTGAAGGCCTAGGAGAGGCTCTGAGCTTACTCCCAGCTGCATCCTGAAGAGTCAGAGCCTGCCTTCTGTGCGGCCTGCCTAGGTAGCACAGGCAAGAGAGGATGTGAGAAGACAGTAAGCTGACCTTCTAGAAGGCGAAAGAGGCAAGCTGGCATTTGGTTCCTGCCTTTAAGCCCTTGACCTTCAATATGTGTCCTCTCTGCCCTGCCACAGTATGGGTGTCTGTTAGGGGAGCCCGTTAGAGTTACAGAATCTCATGGCCCATCCCAGACCTGCCGGGTCAGAGTCTGTATTCCAACAAGATCCCCGGGCAACTCAAATGTACCCCTTTAAAGAACAGTAAACCTTCACATGAACAGGACGTGACCAACCCTTGGTAGATGATCCTCCTCTCCTGGGGAGGAGTGAACCATCAAGGGGAGTGGAAAAAAGTGGAAGCAATGATTCTCCCTTTAAGTAGAGACAGAAGCCAGCAGGAGGGGGCAGGAAAACACTCCCTTTCCCCAAAATGACTGTTTCCTCCAAACTCAATCATCATGATTTTCCAGGGCCATAGATTAGAATCTCAGTGTATAATTTAGTTAAATACACATCTGATATAGATGTTCCTTCCAGTTCTCCTACACTTTATCCCAGCCTCTTAGATCCTATATAAAGGCCAAACTGGTAACAATTTTTCCACTCCCCGGTGCCCAAAAGCCTTCTTTATTCTTTTTTAGCACAAGATAAGCAAGAAAAATAGGTTTTGACAGGAGATATGGAGGAAAGAGAAAGGGAGCTTATTTTTCCTCCAAAGGAAAAAAGAAGGGCACTCTTTCTTTTGTATACACACATGCACACAGTTATGGTCTGAATGTTTTTGTCCCCTCTACCTACTCCCTGCCAAATACATACAGTGAAATCCTAACCCTCAAGGCGATGGTATTAGGTGGTGAGGCCTTTGGGAGGTGTTTAGGTCGTGAGGTGGAGCCCTCATGAATGGGGCTGGTGTCCTTATAAAAGAAGCCTGAGGCCAGGCACGGTGGCTCACACCTTGGGAGGCTGAGGTGGGCGGATCATCTGAGGTCAGGAGTTTGAGACCACCTGGCCAACATGGCAAAACCCCATCTCTACTAAAAACACAAAAAAATTACCCAGGTGTGGTGGCGGGCACCTGTAATCCCAGCTACTCAGGAGGCTGAGGCAGGAGAATCGCTTGAACCCAGGAGGTGGAGGTTACAGTGAGCCGAGATGGCACTACTGCATTCCAGCCTGGGCAACAGAGCAAGACTCTGTCTAAAACAAAATAAAATAAAATAAACAAACAAATAAATAAAGTAAAAGAAGCCCTCCCAGCTACTCGGGAGGCTGAGGCAGGAGAATGGCGTAAACCCGGGAGGCGGAGCTTGCAGTGAGCTGAGATCCGGCCACTGCACTCCAGCCTGGGCGGCAGAGCGAGACTCCGTCTCAAAAAAAAAAAAAGAAGCCTGAGAAAGACCCCGTGCCCCTTCTGTCATGTGAGGACACTGCAAGAAAGTCCTCACCAGAGACTGAATGTGCCAGCGCCTTGACCTTGAACTTTCCGTTCTCCAGAATTGTGGGAAATAAATGTCTGTTGTCTATCAGTCACCCAGGTTATGGTGTTTGTTACAGTGGCCCAAATGGACTAAGACTGCACACATGACAGAAGAAGGCAGAGGATGTGTCTCTGTGCTCAGCAGTGATTCTCGTAGACCCCTGGTCAGCAGTGGAGAGGAGCATTTGTCTCTCACTAGCCAGCAGTCTGTTCTCTCCCTAAGAGAGAGTGTCAAAGCTCTAGGCCCACCAAGCCTTTATGTCCCATTGTTTTCTTGTCTGTCTGCTCCTCTCTTGTTTTTGAATATTGTTCTCTGGTGACACTCTAACCTTGTAAAGGCAGTGGTGCAGTGGGAGCCATCAACACAGAGAAATCGCTCCTTCCCCAGTGCTCACTTCTGGCTGCAGACCCAGCACCCCACTCCTTGGGCTCCTGTCAGCCTATGAGCTAAGTCTGTGAGCTGAGTTTCCCTGCCTCTCTATATCTGAGAGCCTTTTGACTAACTGGAGTGCCCACTGGCCTAAGATCCTTTTGCCATCCTTCATCTGGGTGTTTGGCATGATCAAGCTCCAAGGGAATAGGAATTATGGGGAACAAAAAGGATTTCATGTTACTCTCCTTTTTTTTTTTTTTTTTTCTTTTCTTTCTTTTTCTTTTCTTCTTCTGTTTTTTTGTTTGTTTGTTTGTTTGTTTGTTTTTTCTTTGACGTAGAGTCTCTCTCTGTTGCCCAGGCTGGAGTGCAGTGGTATGATTTCAGCTCACTGCAACCTCCACCTCCTGGATTCAAGTGACTCTCCTGCCTCAGCCTCCCAAGTAGCTGGGATTACAGGTGTGTACTGCCACACCTGACTAATTTTTGTATTTTTAGTAGAGACAGAGTTTCACTATGTTGGCCAGGCTGGTCTCAAACTCCTGACCTCAGGTGATCCACTCACCTTGGTCTCCCAAAGTACTGGGGATTTCTTGTTACTCTTATCATTTTGGGAAACAAATCTAACTTCCTCTGAGTGATAACTGCATAGATTTCTGGCCACTGACACCCTTGCTTTCATTCTTATGTATTCTGTGGTCCTTTATGGAACCTCGTGCTCTGCTTTGTCTGGTGAACTGTTTCCATGTCTCTAGAACCTCACTGGGTAGAAATGTGGACTCCGGACAAACGCCATGCTCTGGGGCCAGAATATGCATGCAACCTTATGGAAAGCTTTCCTAACATGATATAATTTAGCATGAAAAATGTGCCTTCACATTGAGAAAGTAGAACCTTCATTGGACAACTGCCACTGCATGTTATTAGGGCTCCTAGACTAACAAAGCCTCTCTTTTCTCTTCTGTTCTCTTTTCATGTTCCCTTTTGATGTCACTTTTCTAGCCCACATGGTGTCAGAACTGACCCAGCCTAGGGATTCTGGACCAGACACTTTCTGAAAAGACCCAAGATGTGATGGCTTGTTGTCAAAAACAATTACAGAAAAAGGTGGCATACCCCAAGCCAGATGGTATATCCAATGTGACAGTCGAGTCTATGAGATGCAGTTTTAATATACAGCAGGCAAAACTGCAGTGACAATTATATAAAGCAGATGAAGCTCTTCTTGCTGGTCAGCAAACGTCAGCTCAGAACCACTTTACAGCTCTTTACCAGCAACTAAGTGCCTTTATTTACAGAGTGCCTGTCACTTCCCTTTGGCTGGAGAGCTGGTGTATTATTTAGCACACATTTATCCAGGGAAAACATTTCAATTTAAATCAGCTGGTACAACAGTGGCTCTTGCCAGACTGTTTCCCTGCGGTTCGAAAAGATGAGAACTGAGTCTGATCTTGGAAGAAAGGGTGAGCAGAGGGAGGCAGGGTCTGCTCTCTGAGCTGCTTCAGTTCATACCTGAAAAGAGGGAGCATGCCATGGCGTTTCCCATTCTGCTTTCATATTGTTT